CCTGCTGAGAATCTGACAGGATTTATAAAGAAACGTCGCAGTTGTCTCGGTAGGTGCCCTTCAAGCATGAAGGATGAGTGCTTTAACCACAAAGTGTGGACAAGACTGTTTAAGACTGTTTAGTCAAAGGATCTAGCTGCCTTGCTGAGGACCATAAATTAGGATGAGATTATCTGTGGGTAAAGAGAAGGAAAGGATCCGCCATTTGGGGAGGTGGGAAGCAGTGTGCTCTGACGGGCTTGTTTTGCTGTAAAATCTCTCTTCTGTCTCTTTTAAACTCCAGATTATCCACGCGCTCTGTCTGAGAGACAGCAACAGCTTAACTGTTAAATGTTGGCAGATGAGCGTATGTCTAGTTTGAGCACGCCGTATCTCAGCGCCGAGAGAGGCCAAGAGCTCAAACAGTTGTTTGAGGTTATTCTCAGCAAGGCAACGGAAGGACTCAACGCCCACGTTTTGCTCGGGCCAGCCAAGGGCGCGGAAGAGCTCCATGGCATAGCAGTCCTGCCTGTTCCTTGGTCCATTGCTCTCATGCGTGTCAAGTCCCTACGGCATCTCGAAATGCCATCTTCTATCTTGAGAAAGTGGGGTTTGGTGGGAAAGTAGTCCTTTTGGTGTTACTTGCTTGACTAAGGTCGTTGGCAGGGTTGGGTTGTGGATCCAGGGTCGCGGCTAACGATGGGGCCACCCGCACAACGATGCGTAAAAGTCCCACAGCTTAAACCCAGGAGTTTTAGGCCTCTTTGCTCACTCTTGAATGCTGTGCTGCAATATCTACCTCTTCGTCAAAGACAGACAATTCTGAGCGAAAGTGAAACCGCAGACTTATTAGCGAGCGCTCTGGGAGTCGGATCTGCTCAGCCCTCCTGAGCTCAGCGCTAAGCACGTTGGCCAGGTGGGAGGGCTGGGTGTTTCCATCCATCTCCTGTGATTTTTAGAGCCCTAAACAAGAAGGGAAGGAAGCCCTGCTAAGTAAGGCTGTCCAAAGTATATTGTGTAACCCTACACAAGTACAGTAAACAGCCGTCAGTAATGATATGCCGATTTAAAATAATAAGAATTCACTTTAAAAAATGCAGACAATTCACTGAAGCTATCATGGGTGCTTCAGAGCAAAATCAAAATGGAAGTTTCCAAAAACTACGCAGTATGTACTGACTCCTTATTCAAAAATTACATATGCTATGGAGACTTTTAATTATCACAGTTGTTGACAACATGTGCATTTGTATTGTGTCCAAAGTGTGAGTGGATATGATATATCTGTACGGAAGAGGACCTGTAAAGCTCTTCCACAGTACAGTTCATATGCGCAAAATTTTCATTGCTTCCTTTCCTGTGGTTGGACCTTTGTGAAAGGAAACTTGGTGCCCCAGAAAACCTTATCTTCTAACACAACGTTTAACTTTAGGTTCTGAAGTCTTCCTATCTCTTGGCAGATGAAATAAAGTAAATTAGCCTTCTAAGAAGAAAAAATGCATTTAATTATATTATTGTTTGTTTTAATTTGCCTAATTCGCTGAAAGATTTTAATCTTTTTCTTGACTGGGGTAGATCTAGCAAGTACAGCTAAAGTGTTAGGGTGATGGAACCTCTTCTTTCTGGAAATATTCAGTCATTTTGCTAGTTTGCTTTTTATCTTTCTTAGTTCCCTTTATAGTACTGCAGCCAAATCCATTTCTCATCTCTAGAATAAGAACGTTTTGCCTTTTAACAGTATGTATGGAGTTGGTGCTATCATAACGCACGGACAGATTAGCCACTGACGTCATTAAGGGCTTCTGTCCTCATCCAGGCTTCGTTAGGATGAGGAAAGGGTTAGCGCGGGGCCTAGCAATCATCTGCAAACCCAAATGCTATGTGACTTGCAAGGTAGGCGGTCTCGCTCTTTGCTCTTGTATTTCTTTGCAAGCACGTTGCAAGGAGAAGGCTCTGTTGTGACAGGCAGAGCATGTGTTCCCCCAGGAAAAAACAAGCCATTTGACGCCTGCTTAAGGGGGAAAAAAAAAGGGGGGGGAGAGAGAGAGGAGGACAAATTTTTCAATCTATATCTGTTTAAAACTCTTGGCAGGTGAAAAACTCGACAGACTGAGCAACCCCCGAAACATCAAGCCTCCAGTATCAAAACTTGGTGGTGCCATGTCTGGATTGCAGATGCTCCCTGAGTGCACGCGATGTGGAAATGGGATTGTGTAAGTGCCTGAGTCGCTGCCGAGCCTGAGTTCGGTCACACCGTGCAGAGCACAGCGGTTACTAGAACGCAGGGATTTAGCTCGGTTGTCTTTCTGCCAGAAATACGTGTGAGAATTTATAGCAGAATCGCTGAATCTCTTGTTACTAACCATATATAAACCTGGAATTAGGGAGTACAGTTTGATTGCCCCTTTTAAGGGAATTTTGCAACAATACGTGGATGATTCATAGAACGATTTCTGCCGGCTTATCATCATAACTGCCCTGTGACTATGAATAGTACCAAAGACACTAACAGTCTTTTACTGCCTTATTGAGGAAGAAGCACTTTTGAAGGTCAAGTGGAAGAAGTCTACGGTTATTTTTGTTTCTTGGTGGATATGTGGGGGGGGATTATTTGGGTTTTTGTGTGTATGTGTGTTTTGGGTTTTTTGTTTTGTTTTGTTTTTGCTGAAGACTTACTCTCCGATGGATGGGTGTTGGAACTAATGCTCAGAGAATATAGGCCTTTTTTTCCCTTTACCATCTTGTAATTTATGTTCTGTTCATTTCAGTTAAAAGTCCTCTGTTTTCTTTCTTCTTTGTTCTTGCTGTTGTTGTTCTGAGCCGAAGATTTTTATTCCGACAGCCCTTAGAGCAAACAGTGCCTACCCGTACTCACGTGGGCAGTGCCTCAAGCTGCGTCAGTAGCGTTTGGGAGTCGTCGGCTTCCGACTGTCGGATCTGGGCTGAGCGTGGATATTCAGGCTTGGCTTTGTGTCGGGCCTTGGAGCCGTGTTGCAGGAGTGTGATGACCCTAGAAGGGCTCATCCTTCACAAGCTCTGCTTCTGGGAGGTGCTGAGTCCTCCCACGTAGGACTGAGCAGCCCAGCTCCCACTGACGTTCTGCGGTGTCCGCTGATCCCCTCCGTGCGCTTAGTACCATACGGCGCGTGGAGGAGACGCGATCTCAAACTGTGCCCATGTTGCTGGACTTCCAAAACAAAATCCTCTCTCCTCAAAATCCTGCAAGATCCTCTCTCTCCCAGGCGAGCGGGAAAGGGCAGTTGAGGTGGGAAGCCCGGGGGTGATCCCCCGGGAGCCGGGGCGGGTGCTCGTGCTGTCAGTTCCCGCGGGCGTGCAAGCGAGTCCTTGAAGAGCAGAGCGCCGTGGCCAGAGCGGTGCCTGGCATGGGGACGTCACCTGTAGGTAGGCTGATGTGTCGTGGTAGGAAGCGCACAGATCGCGTCTTCAAATGCCCCTACGTGCCAGGGTTTTCCGCGAGGCGGCAGGAAGAAATAGCTTTGCTTGCTGTTTCTGCAGCCGCGGCTCGGCGTTTGACCTGGGCTCCCCTGTCTCTCCACAGGGGCACGATCGTCAAAGCCCGGGACAAGCTCTACCACCCCGAGTGTTTCATGTGCGACGACTGCGGCCTCAACCTGAAGCAGAGAGGTTACTTCTTCATCGAGGAGCAGCTGTACTGTGAGACGCACGCGAAGGAAAGAGTTAAGCCTCCTGAAGGATATGACGTCGTAGCTGTTTATCCAAACGCCAAAGTTGAACTTGTCTAAATACATACTCTGTTCTTGGAGAGGTCAGCAGGCGGCTCGCCCACCCACATGCATGCCGCTGGTTTTAAAATATGGCTGTAATCAACTCCGATTACTAAAGCCCGAGTAAAATGCCTTTTCGTAGATAAAACCGTTTACACTTAGGATCTCAAGGGGATGGTGTTGAAAGCATATGAACAGGTTTTTCCCTTCTTTTTGACACTCTGCTTTTTGGGTTGCTGTGTCAAGTTATTAGTCTCTGCCAAAACCTTATCCAAGATCTGTGTAAATATTGATTAATTTTCTACTTTGTTTCATATAAAACCAGTATTCCTTTTCTCCCCCCCACCCCTTCATTTTAAAATGTAAGGAAGATGTTTTAAAAGCTCAAAGAAAATAAGGCACTTTAACAAAAGAAACTGACTTCTATACCATTGCTTTAACTTCATAGCTTCCAGTAACGCCTTGCTCTGTGGCTTCCACAGTGATTAAAAATTAACACCGCGTGAAATCTTAGTGCCTGCAACACAGTATTGGTGGATGGGGGCTCCTAGGCTAAATCAGATTTAGACCTGAACAGAGGCAACTGTGGCAAGCAAAAGTGGTCTCTTAAAAAGCAATTGCAATGAAATTCTCTGGTTCAGTGACACTGCAGTTTGAGGCTAACGCTTTCTGATCTGAGTTCACCAAAAGACCTTCTTACTGTGCATGCGACAAGGTTTTTTTCCTTCTCTTTTTTTTTCTTCTCCTAATTCAGTTGTTCTCCCTAGCAGTGTGTGTAAAGGACACCAGAACAGCGTGGAACCTGCACTGTTCTTCACCTCCTGAATCTCTGACCCCTCTGTTCTCTGCCAGCAAGGATGTCTTTGCTTTGTTCGTTGACTGCCACCCGGCTTTTGTTAAAATTCATAGTCGTTTCATTCTAGATCTCCCAGACTGGGTATAGCCCTGCCATCTGGGCCTGACATTGCAGCTGTGGAGATGGTAATAAGGTTCAGCTAGGCACTTAGAAGGTAATTTTTGACCTGGTAAATCCATCTGTAAGGCTCTGAGTCCAGAATTGGTGGATCCGGATTTGTATGCGTGTCCCAAAGCTGAGCTATTGCAAGGTTTGTTTTACACTTTATTTGATGGGGAAAAGTTTGTGGATCTTGGGATGTTGTTCTTTTGTGGAGATATGTTTTTCATTTTAGTGTTTGGAGAAGGTGTATATATATGTATGTGTGTCTTACAACTTTCAGACAGCCAACTACTGGATGTGAAGTACTTAGCACCAGGCTGCTCTGTGACTTCCTTACAGCTGCATGCTACGTTTGCTGCCTGATCACCCCGGATGCTAACAGAAGCCGTGTGCTTGGGGAGCACTAGGAGCCTTTTGAAACATCTTTATTAACAGTGCTTTATAAATAATAAACTTGGACACTGCTTTCCATTAGAGAAGTAATTGCTGTGTTACTATTTGCCCCCGTTGAAAGCATCAACAGGATGTTGCTGTAGCAAAGCCTCCAGTTAGCGCCCTGGCGATTATCTGACCCTGGTGAAACACGTAGCGTTTGAAATAACGTTGGGCCTGTTGCACGGACCCCTGGTGCACTGCCGTTCCTTCTGCTCCCTCCCAGATCTGCAGTGCTGGCCCTCCTTGCTTAGGACAAGGGAATTGTGGAAATAGCTTCAAAACAAAAACGGGAGGGGAAAAAAAAAATCACCTTCTCTGTATCAGGAAGCCAAAAGTTGCACTGCGTGTCGTCATGGATACTGTGTTGTGTTTATAGCTCTGCTCTTTGCCTCGCAGTTAAAGGGAAGAAAGCAAGACCTCACACTTGGCTTTCCTGCAGGCTCCTAGCTCAGAGCAGAGGGGGTCACTTCATCCCGTTCAGGGGGGAGAATAGGCTCTGATCACCTCCGAGAGGAGCCTGCACAGTGGTCTGGCTCTACAGTACAGTTAGTTGCCGTTTATTAACCTCAAAACCCAAGTCCTGTTGATTGGCGTTGCTTCTGGTTTACCGCAACAGCCTCCTTCCCGCCCCGCACCTGAGCAAAGGGAGGAAAGAGCAACGGGTCTGTGCTGCTTCCCTTTTGTGGAAAGCCAAATCCCGCCGAGCGGGGGCCGCTGGCCAGCCGCTCTTTCCCACGCCGGCCCTCCGTGAGCGGGGTCCGAGACAATGCGGTGCCGGAGGAGGCTCGGGAGAGTTATCCGAGCTGGGGCCGGGCACAGAATTTCTTCCCGCAATCTCTGCGCTGCAGAGGGAGCGAGGATTCAGGGCGTTAGAGGACCACGCTGACGCCACGTGCTGTGGAGCCTTACAGCGTTTTAAACAGTTACTTCTGGCACCGAGCTTTGATATTTTGACCCTTCTTTTCGGGAGTCTGGAGTCTCCTTCCTCTCGAGCGTAGCTGCAGACGGCCACCGAGGAGCAGCCGACTCAGGAACGTGAAACAGGGTCACAGTACACCGCAAGCTAGAAGTAGCGTAGTAGAAGGAAAAACTGCGCACGCAACAGCCCTGACACTGCAGGTTTTCCAGGGCTCAAGGGTGGCAAGAGCCAGGCTCCACTAAAACCAGTCTTGGGAAGGCCTGCGCTCAGCAGCCTTACAGCAAGGGTGCAGGGGAGCTGAGCGCAGGCTGCCGCTCTCCGAGCGGGTGCAGCTCCCGTCCACGAGCGCCGCTGGCAGCGCAGCCAGGTATTTCTTGGCAGCCAGAGCAGAGCGATGCTGGCTGTGTGCGTTCCGGCTAGCAGCAGAACATCCACTTCCAACTTTCTGCCACGAGGATTTTTAATTATTGAAGTGCAAGAAACACATGGAAATTCTTATCTCACAGCTGAGCCGAGTTTTTCTTGTATTTGCCTAGCCTTGCTCAGTAGATTGGACCGTCTGAATGGAAATAGTTTGGACAACTGTAAATGATTAAGAGACTAACCATAATCGGGTATGAAGCGTTATTGCCCCTTGTTTGCAGGCCTCTGCTTGGAGCTTATTGGTTTGCAGCTGTCATAAACATTTGTTCTGACTTCCTGTATTAATCTCGCGTGTTGCTGGGCCAAGCTTAATTGGCCATAATATGTTTTATGAAGTTGACGCTTTCCTCATCCCGTTCTGAGGTTGTAGACTAGCAGTGGGTATTTTTGGTAAACATCTTGCCATCGTTCATGGTTGGCCCCTTCTACAGGTTCACTGTAAATACTGCTTATAGTTTGTTTCTGCTGCCTCTCTGGCTTTGCTTGAGGGTTCATGCTCACTTTCCCGCGTGAGCAGCCAGCACAGTGTGCGAGCAGGACTTGAGCTGTACGGTTTAACTGTGACAAGCGTCTTCTGCAAAGTCACCCTTGGTGAGGCACCTGGCTCTCTGCCTCTTAGGTCAAGGTAAAACCGGAGGGGTTTGTGGAACTGAGTTCGTCTGCAGCCGAGAAGTGCCTTTACATACTCTAGTGAAAAAACTGTTCGAACCGTTTTCCATCTAGCACTAAAAATTAAGACTACAAATCCGTTTCCTGCATCAGATGATGTTCTTCCAGGAAGCCAATATAAAATTTAAACAAATACTGAAGATTGTCTATACCCTTTTCCTATGGTTGGCTCCAAGCAGATGCATCACGGCCTTCTGGTGTCCACAGATGCTTTTTAGCCATTAAGTCAAACATCATCTTCCGACTACTGCTTGTTTTTCTCCATCCTCAAATACAAGTATGGTGAGAAGGAGTATTGACACCTAATGTGAAGGTGATCTTATGTTACCTGGAAATATGCAGGAAGCCTTGCTACCTTGACCCAAAAGCAGGGTTTCTAACCAGGATTGAATTCTTGAGTTCCAGCACAGCTGAGCAAGAGAAAATTCACTAGAAGAGTGGCCTGTCAGGGTTTTTTTTCAATTTACCATTGAAAGAAATGCATATTTGCCAGGTTAGGCCATATGTCATCCTCTGATAGTTTTTGTCTTCTGTTCAACTCCATTTGTGAGGCCGTTTCTCACGCTGCAGGTGTCCAGTGTGCGCGTCACATATGTAACACTAGCATGAGGAACGCCTTCAAAATTCATATGTTGTTGCTTTGCTGCTGAGGTTTGAACGTATAAATCAAGCTGGCTGCTCCCTTAGGAATCCTGAGCAGTGTAATTGCGCGGTTATATAAATAGCAGAGCTGCGGAGAGCCAGCCCGAGGGAGCCACGTGCGCCTTCCTTTTAATTTGAAAATAAGTTCCCACAAATCAGGTTTTCCACACAGTTGTCTCCTGATACTCCTCCTTATGAGTAATCAACTCGTTTGATCCCCCGAGGAGCTTAAAATGGAGCCACCTCATGCAATGCTATCCTGTGGCAAATTGATTTCTGGATTTATTGCGTGTCGTATACGTGATTTGGCCGGTAACACGGGGCTGAAACCAGAACGCTGTTCTGCCTCGCCAAGCTCGTGCCAAGAGCGAGCCGGACAAACGCCGTCCGTCAGCTCCGCCGTTGAACGCTATAAAGCGTTTGGAGGATGCAGTTTGTATGAAATATAAAATAAAGTTGTGTTGTCGGTTTTGTGTCCCATGTGAATTCGTCTGGCCTTTGCTTCGTCCCTTGCTAGGGTTTCTGCCTTGCTGACACCTGCGCAGGGCGCAGCTCCCGCAGCAGCCCGGCGCGGGGTGAGGGTGGTGTAACCCCTCGTTTTCGTTGGGCAATGCTGCTGCTGGTCCATGGCAGCTTGGTTCTCCTGGTGGTGGTGGTATTCCTGACCCATGGAGTAAATAGTCTTGCTGTTCTATTCTTAAAGTAGCTTGGGCTTTCCTCTGAATTCATAGGCATGCTATTTTTTCTAATTCTTCATGCAAAGAAAATCGTCTCACCACTTTTCTGTTTCAAGAAAGCAACCACGCGTTCTTTGCATCTTCTGCTCTGCCTCTGGCCTGTATTATGTGTTGCTGACTTGCTCTACGCTTCTGCTTCCTTAGAGATGAAGGAAGTGCCACCTTCTTGGCATTTGAAGGCGTGAATTTGCTGAAGTTGAGTAAAAGTTGGCGAAACCCTGCAACTTCTGACAGAACGGATCCTAATTTGCAGTGGTGGATTGGTGGTGGCCGAGGGCCCGAGTGGCTCCTTGCATCAGGATCTGGGGTGGAGGGAGAAGGGGTAAAGATGCGTTAAGGCTTCCTGCCTCACCCAAGGCGTTCCCGGGTAGGGGAGGTCTGTAAATAATCAAAGCGGCTCTCTAGGCAGGCAGGATGTCAGAGTTGTGGAAGCGAGGGCCCCAAAGCTCTGGCAGGCCCTGAAGAGCCATCAGCACTAGAAAAACCTGTAATTCTCTCTTTCTCCTGTTGTTGTGGCTTTTTGTTTTAAAAACCCCATGGATGGATTTGGAGCTACCCGCTCTGGAGGTAAACGTGCCTTCTAGCACAGCCCTCGCCATGAGGACAGGACGCTTTCTCTGACGGCTTTGTGAGGTCTGCTCGTTCCTACGTGGGTCGGGCTGGGACCCAGCTCCTGCTCGTGCTGCGGGATAGCGGAGCGCCCGGTGTCTGAGGACACGGTGACAAGACAGACACGTGCGGATGCGGCTCCCGCTGTTCGTGTTTGTGGCCTCTCATCTCTGCTCTTCGTTGCAGGGCTATGGAAAGGACAAAACGGTTTAAAAGGAGGGGGGAAAAACCAAAGTGATCCCTAGCTCCAGGAACAGCTCTGAAAACGCTGTGAGGAGGCTCACCTTGGCAGGCTTCAAGTACGTTTTGGTAGTTAGCGGCTAGCAGAAGACCAGGACATGTGGTCCCAGCTCTTTGGAGGCAGCGTTAGCTG